GGGTGGGCGAGACCTCCTGAGGTCAGTATTAATTAACCACATCAAGTGGTGCCTAACGATGAGCTTCTGTGTATGTTGAGGGATTTCTTTCAAGAAGGTAAATAACAACTTCAATGATGATCAACTTTCAATGATAAAAAAATATAGTAAACCAAATGCAAGAATAATTGTAATCTAGAAATTGTCAAAACTCTAAAAAAAAATTATGAACAAACGACTTAAAAAAACGAACAAAAAACAACGTGTATGAACAAGTATCCTCAACTAGTGAACAACTAAATTGAAACAGTGAACAATAATTAAAAATATGAGCTACTGACGTCACTAAAACTTCAGCAAGGGGTGGGGAGAGGGGGGTGAGGGGGTGAAAGAGGGGGGAGACGAGAGGGGAAGGGGTGAGGGGGGAGGAGGGGGGAGGGGAGGAGGAGGGTGAGGGAAGGGTCATCTACCGCGTACCTTCCCCGAGCCATGGCATAAGGGCCACGCAACCACCTTAATCTCCTTCCTCCTCTCTCCTCTCTCTATTCCCTACCCTTTTTCCACTTCGTCTTCTTCCCACTGATCCCCCCTCCACCAGTGACGCAACATACTCAAGGAGGGGAGTAGAAACCATTGAAGTGAGAGATGAGGAGAGGAGGAGAAGGAAAGAGACAGAGACAGGAGGTGGTTTTGAGGAGGGAAAAATTGGAATGGATGGGAGAGGGAAAAGAATGTGAAGTGGAGGGAGAGAAGAAGGAGGGAAAAAGGAAAGTGGAGGGAGAGAAGGAGGAGGGGAAAGGGAAGTGGAGAGGAGAAGGAGGAGGGGAGGAGATTGAGGAAGGGAAGGAGAGAAGGGGGGGGAAGGAGAGAAGGAGGAGGAAAAGGGAAGGGGGGAGAGAAGAGGAGGGGAAGGGGGTGAGGGGAGGAGAAAAGAAGTGGGAGAGGAGGAGGGAGGAAAAGATGGGAGTGGGGAGAAGAAGGAGGGTGGAAGGGAGGAGAGAAGAGGAGGGAAAGGAAGGGAGGGAGAGAGGAGGGGAAAGGAAGGGGGAAGGGAGGGGAGAAAAGATTGGAGGGAAGTGGAGGGAGGAAGAACAGAGCAAGGGATTTAGAAAAGACAATAGTATAAAACAGGCTCACTAGAACACACACACACACACACACACACACACACACACACACACACACAACACACACACACACACACACACACACACACACGGTATATTTTAAAAGGTGATCCAAGAAAAAATATATATATACGGCTGCCATAACATAAACGAGAGAGAGAGAGAGAGAGAGAGACAAATGTTAAAAAAGACAAGAAAACTTCCCTTATAATTTCCATAACGTAAGAATTGTATAAAGAAACCAATATCAGATACAATGCGTGTATCCATCTCTATGGATATATTTATATGCATATTGTTGGTACAGCCAGGCAGGTTCCCCAGTATAATATATGCCCAGGAACCAGTCTATGTCCTCAGTGCTAAATATTACTCCTTGCTTTATGGAATATTGGATACCTACTGAGGGCTCCATCTGCTGCTGCTGCTGGTGGACGATGGTGGTGGTGGGCGTGGGTGGTGGTGATGAGGTGGTGGTAGTGTGGGTGGTGGTAGTGATGTGGTGGTTGTGGTAGTTGTGGTGGTAGGAGGTGGGCGAGTTGGTGACACGATGGCAATTGAGAAGAGAAAAATATATCTGGTCTTCTCTGCACTTTAAAAGCTTATTAAGTCTCCTCCTTCTGTAGTTCACACACACACACGCACACACACACACACACACACACACACACACACACACGACGCACACACACACACACACACACACACACACACACACACACACACACACACACACACACACACGCACCACACACACACACACACACACACACACACACACACACACACACACACACACACACACACACACACACACACACACACACACACACACACACACCTTGCCAACAGTACAATTTAATTATAGATATCGCCGCAAACACACTACCATACCACCACCACAATCACACCATCACCACCACATTCACAACACCATCACAACCCGCCACCATCATCATCAACACCACCCCACAATCACAATATCATCACCAAAGCCCCACTATCACACCACAACCCACTCCACCACAACCACCACCCCCACCATCACAACCACCACTTCCCCCACCCACCACCACCACCACCATCACCTCCACCATCACAACCACCCCACCACCACCACTCCACCACCATCACCTCTCACCCCCCCACTCCACCACCAACATCACCCTGCACCATCACAACCACCCCACAACCACCACTCCACCCCCCCCACTCCACCACCACCACCATCACCACCATCACAACCACCCCACCACCACCACTCCACCTCCACCACTTCCCACTCCACCACCAACATCACCTCCACCATCACCACCCCACCACTCCACTCCACCACCACCACAATCACCACAGTAGAAGGAATAATCAGAGAGGAATTACCACATCAGCATTTCAATTTAGAGCCGAAGATGTAGGGCCTCGAGTTGGTATTTTCTGGTTATGATTAGATTTCTGTATTCTTCGACCCCGGAGCCACAAGGACCAGCGCCAGCACGAACACTCAGCAGCGCCAGACGAACGATAAGTTGCTCTCTGCCTCTGATGGCGCTCGCTTTGTGTGTTGAATGAGTGTTTTTGTGTGTGTTGAGTGTGTTTTGTGTGTTGAGTGTGTTTTTGTGTGAGTGTGTAGTTTTTTGGTGTTTTTTGAGTCGAATAAGATTTGTAGGTTTTGTGTGTATGTCGAAACACGTGTTTTGTGTGTCGAATGTGTGTGTTTGTGTGTGGAATAGGAGTGTGTGTGTGTTTTGGGTGTTGTGTGTGTGTGTGTGTGTGTGTGTGTGTGTCGAATACGTGTTTTTTGTTTATGTCGAATACGTGTGTGTGTGTGTGTGTGTGTGTGTGTGTGTGGTGTGTGTGTGTGTGTGTCAAAGATATGTATATATAACTGTATTTTGTGTGGTTGTTTGATACGTGTAATGTGTACAATATTTATATACGTGTTGTCAGGTTTAAAGATAATACGTGTTGTGTTTCTGACATATAACCCATATGAAAAAAAATGAAAGATAAAGAATAAAGGAGATAAGAGACAAACAGAAAACTACAGTTAGAGAAAGAGAAATATAAAAAGAGAGAGAAGAGAGATAGAGAGAGAGAGATATAAGAAGCAGGGTAATAATCCAATGCCAATACATCCCCCCCCTCCCCCTTTGAGTATTGAGTACAGTATTTATACAACAGACACGTGTCAGAACGGTCAGTAGAGTGTACAGTGCCACTCCTGACTAAAGGTGAGTGCCTACCTGTGCCCCCTTACCTGCAAATTCACACGGGATGAGATGCAATATTCCTACCTGAGGGGAATAACATTTTTACCTCCTCCCCCCCCCAAAAAAAAAATTTAATAATATTAAGTATTTTATATAAGAAAGACTAATTCTACATTTGTTTTTGTTTAATGTTGTCGAAAAAAAAATATTAATCACTCTTGTAATTGTATCCTAAAGGAGGAAAAATATCGTTGTAGTTAAGCCAATGTCATAGTTTATATTACACAATTATATTTACATAAGGTAATTATTATCAACCGTATGAGAAACTAAGTTACAATCATAGATAAACGTTTTTATTATTATTATTATTATTATTATTATTATTATTATTATTATTATTACACACAGACGTTAGTAACATATATTCTGCATTATGTTTTCTTTTTAAATCTAGAAATATAACTAATCTAAGTTACATCAAAACAAAAGCCAAATACGACCAATAAAAAAATGTATTTAAAAGTTAAAAACCTGGTGGACAAAAGCCTAACTAGTTTAATCCAAAGCTCCATTATCTTGTTAGCGAAGAGTTAGTGTGAATTATTTATGTTAAACCTTCATGGTGTTAACGTTTAGTAACTTATAGCCAGGAGAGACATACGGTACAGACACATGGACAGAGGAAATAAAACGTATTTTCTCTTGTTTTTGTTCATACTACGAGAAAGTATCTAAATTTAGCTCTTGTTTACGTATGAATCAAGAGGAAGTAACTAAACCTAACTTAATCCTGGAACATCAAGATTCGCGTGATTATTTCCAGTTTCCAGGACGATAGCAGTGATTACAACCACGCCCTCTCCCGACAACACTATCGACCCCGTGACCTTGGCTTAAAAAAAAATAAACAAAACACACACACACACACACACACACACACATTCATCAGCACTAATTTACGCTACAAAGGTTAAGTAATTTCTACCCCTGGCAACGTTTTGTGATCATGGCAGGATGTCTCGTGTGGGGTCGTCCATACACTATCCCAGCCAGAGGTTTACAACACAATCTTATCATAAACGTTTGTGTAAAAAAAATCTCTTACGGCAACTCAAAAATATATGGGCCAGTACAAGAGCGTCCATTAAACACATCAGCGACAGACCTCAGATGATGTCAAATTTCAAAAGCTGTTAAGAAGATCAACCATTTATACTTTCCACTAAGACTCAGACACAGACAACTCCACTCATGGTCTTCTCCTCCCCCTCATATTACAACAACTTAAACACGTCGACTGTGACCCTATTTACACCTACTGCATCTGACCGGAACGTGCAAGAGCTGTTCAGAATTTGCTTGAGTTGGCAAAAATCAGCATTTTTAGATTTCACGTCGTTTCCAACTTCCTGCCTCGAGACCTTTTTCACGCCCACTTTACCAAGAAATTTTACGGGGGACTTTATCAAACGGACCTGGCGCGGGTAGTACAAAAATGTGGTGCCAACTAATCATGAAATGATTCAGGATGCAATTTTCAGTTTCTGAGAAGGAAATGGTCTTTGATAATGGAAGCGTGTGGAGGTGTGGGAGAGGCGGAGAGAGAGAGGGCAAGAGAGTGTAAGACAATAGACTGCCCTAGACCCGCAAATGACCACGGAGGGCCACCTCAGAACCCCAAATGGCCATTGAAACTCAACATAAGCCCAACGGATGGCCACTTATGGCCGTCGTACAATCAAGATTGGGTGCTGTACAAGAGCCCTGGATGGCCACTGAGGAGGCATTAAACCCTGAAGGTCGCCGCAGAACCCTGGGTGGTTTCGAGAACTGTCGTAAAGCCATGTACGACCATTGTGGGTCGTCTTAGAGCTCGGGGTAAGCACCGAGGTTGAGGTAGAACCCTAGGTAGCCAATAAAGGCCGTTACAGAGCTTTTGGGGCTCTGAGGGAGACAATAATCCCTGGGTGTCACTGAAGACCAACGTAAAACCTGAATGATCACTAATAACCATTGTAGAGTCCTTAAGGGTACTAAGGGTCCTCCCAGAGCCACTAAGGGCCCTCCCAGAGCCATTAAGGGTCTTCCCAGAGTCACTAAGGGTCTTCCCAGAGCTAGTAAGGGTCCTCCCAGAGCCACTAAGGGCCCTCCCAGAGCCACTAAAGACCCTCCCAGAGCCAGTAAGGGCCCTCCCAGAGCCACTAAGGAGCCCTCCAAACCGTGGGGAATATTCCCAGAGTCACTAAGGGTCTTCCCAGAGCTAGTAAGGGTCCTCCCAGAGCCACTAAGGGCCCTCCCAGAGCCACTAAGGACCCTCCCAGAGCCAGTAAGGGCCCTCCCAGAGCCACTAAGGGCCATTCCAGAGCTAGCAAGGGTCCTCCCAAAGCCACTAAGGGCCCTCACAGATCCTGGGTGGTTCTCTAGAGTTCGGTTTGTCCAACGAAACCCACTTTAAAGACTTGAATGTCCACACAGGTCTTCATAGAGGCATGAACGGCCACTGAGAGCAACACTCCGACACTCACTTGGATGTGGTGTGAGGGCGGGCGGGCGGCCTCTCTGCTTTAACCTCACATATCCTCGCTCACAAATTTCCAACCATAAGCCTACATGAAAATTTTGCTTTCCTTCCCTTGTACGACAGAAAACAGCTCGAGGAAACTGTATGATTTATTTGTGTGTGTGTGTGTGTGTGTGTGTGTGTGTGTGTGTGTGTGTGTGTGTATTTATAGTGAAACAGGAACAAGTTGGTTATCTTCTCATACAGCGGGTATATTGCGGTCTGAATACAACGTACCGTGTGTGTGAGTCACGGGCATTCAAGTTTGGTGGAAAATTTTAATCAAATCTCTTTGGACTTAACACTGGGGTGGGCGGGCGGCTCCACACACTGTAATGAAATACTAGTTTGCCGCATATCAGTGGTACATATATATAAAATTTCTGTCGTATATGAAATGGTTATAAAATTAATCTCAATCTCTTATTTATTTTTTTATATTATTATTATTATTACATATATCTCCTGTATTATCCATCTTATCCAATTGTTTATTGTGGATATTCTGACAACATAAAATTTATCCCGAGATTAAATAAAATAAAGAATATTAGTGGATGTTTTAGTGATAACACAACAGGGACAGTTTACAGGATCTGACTCGTCGAGAAAACCACATCCAGATTATTTCAACAGCTAGTCCACTTGGTTGGCTCACACACACACACAAACACACACACACACACACTTAAAACTAATGTCACCTTTCATATCCCTCAATAATATCTTGTGTGTGTAATACATTCCTTTGTGGCGGCGGTCAAGTGCACTACTACCTTATGTATCGAGGTATGCTTTCACGACCTGATGTACAGCGTCCGCGAACAGTGCAATATCTCAAACGACCTTCACACACACACACACACACACACACACACACACACACACACACACACACACACACACACACACACACACACACACACACACACACACACACACACACACACACACACACACACACACACACACACACACACACACACACACACACACACACACACACACACACACACACACACACACACACACACACACACACACACACACACACACACACACACACACACACACACACACACACACACACACACACACACACACACACACACACACACACACACACACACACACACACACACACACACACACACACACACACACACACACACACACACACACACACACACACACACACACACACACACACACACACACACACACACACACACACACACACACACACACACACACACACACACACACACACACACACACACACACACACACACACACACACACACACACACACACACACACACACACACACACACACACACACACACACACACACACACACACGACTCTTTTAGGATTCTCTATAATGGAAAGTACATACACAAACTCACATCGACACAAACTCACATCGACATACACACACATCTCACACGTACACATCAACTCACCTGGAAATACACACTGCCCCCTCCACTCACACACTCGTACAGTCATACACAAGAACTAACAATGATGAATGAGCCGTCTTGTATAATACCTGTCCGTCACATCTGTCTCTTGGGTGAGTGAAGAAACAGGGTCAATGAGAATCCCCTACCCCCTTCCCCTCCCTTATAAGACCCCCTTCCCTTTCAACCCCCTCCCGCCAATCAACCTCCTTTGAGACATTTCCCCACCTCCTCCTCATGAGCCCCCCCTTCCCTTACCCCAATTCACCCCTTATGGACGCCACTTCGTCATCATTATCACCTCACATAATGTTCCTGACTCGTTTGTTTATCCCCGTAATCAATAATCGATACTGATAGCCCAAGATGATGTCTCAAGCTAGTGGTTGTGTGTGCTGCCCACCTGCTGAATCACACAGGTGGTATCAAGTACTGGTAATGGCAGTGGTGGTTAGATTAGAAAGGTAGGGAGTAGGCTAGATGACATACTAACACTCATGTACTGTAGGTAGTAGTATTAGCAGTAGTAGCAGTAGTAGTAGTAGTAGTAGTAAGAGAGGCTTTACGATTTAAACCACCTTATTTAACTCACCCAGGTACTCCCCAACACCCAAAATAATAAGATGAACGAGAACTATATTTTTCCTTTATAGATCGCACTTACTGTACCATGATAAAGAGAGAGAGACAACAGGTTCTCTTCTCCTCATGGCACTGAACTGGTATTGAAACCCCATGCTGTAGGTGGCCAACTAGGACACCACTAAACACGGTGTATAGGAACACAAATGGATACGTGGGAGGTAAGTTGAGAGGTGGCAAGGCAGGGCAGGGGAGGGGAGGGGGACACTTAGAGCATGGGGAAGTGAGAGGGGAGGGGGGAGTGGGAGGGGGGGAAGGGGAAATAGGCAATTACGGAGATAAGATAGAGATATCTCCTGCCGTCTCCTATAAACATGGTGTATTCTTCCCTTGGTGGTCTGTGGCGCAGTGGTTAGCAGACTCCTCTCGCAAGTAAATGACCCTGAGTTAGATCCCCGGACAGAGTGAACCTATGAGCAGGTTTTTGTACGCCATTTGCTCCTTGTGTACCCATACCCAGCAGTAATTGGTGTATGTATGTATGAATGTGTGTATGTATGTATGTATTTTAGTCGATCGTATACCGGGGTAATGGATAGCCAGTGCAGTTGGGTAAGTGTCCGGTCTTCCTGGAGTGTACTGAGTGTGGTTATGCTTGTGGCAGTTTCTACACCTTTAAACAAAACTAATTCTCAAGTTGATCTTACTTTCGACCAGCCTGGAACACGGGAGATCGACTATTCCTCAAGGGGTTAAGTCATCGTCCTCGAAGGGTTAAGTCATCGACCTCAAAGGGTTAAAACATCGTCCTCAAAGGATTAAGTCGCCGTCCTCAAAGGGTTAAACCATCAAAGAGTTAAATCATCGTCCTCAAAGGGTTAAATCATCGTCCTCAAAGGGTTAAATCATCGTTCTCAAAGGCTGAAGTCAATCGTCCACAAGGGGTTAATGGTATAATTAGTCGTCCAGAAGGGGTCGTAATTTTTCGGATACAATTTTACTTCCGTCAGAGAGCTTTGATCTGTCTCTCTCCCTACCTCACCCCATGAGGAGGGAAAAATGGAGAGGGGAGGAAATTATGACTCTCTCTCTCTCTCTCTCTCTCTCTCTCTCTCTCTCTCTTCTTCTTCTTCACTTCCTCCATTATCTTTTTCTTCATTTCCTCTCCTCCCCATCCGTCCTTCCTTCTCTTCATGCTTTCCCCTTTCTCACTTCCTTACCTTTAATTTCTCTCTTTCTTCCTTCCCCTTCTTGGTTTCCCTTCCTTCTTTTCCTCCCCCTTTCATCCGTTCATTCCGTCATTTTTCCTTCCTTTCCTTCTCCCCATCTTTTCCCTTCTTCCCTCCCACCTACCTTCCTTCCTTCCTTCATTTCTCATCTCTTCCTCAATCATCCCACCTCCATCCTTCCCCTCCTCCCCCTAACTCCTCCCATCTCTCCCTTGCTTTCCTCATTCTCCCTCACCCCCTCCACTCTACACGCCGTTGGTACTCTTCCAACACGCCCATCATCACGATTAAAACAAACATATCCATAGTGAATATCAGCAGTAAAAGAGAGAGGGGGAGGATAATAAACGAATCATTAATTACTAAACAATTTTTAAAGCACCAAGTTTGTAATTCTCCTCCTCTTAAGTATTGCCATATTCCTGCTTATTTTTTTGTTCATCAAGAAACCTTTTAATAAACTTAAGAAATGTCTGGTACATAGTATATATTATCCATGGTTAAAGGTGGATATATTGAGCACCTTGATGTGTTAAGCCCTGCACGTGAGGTGATGGGGTGGGGAGGGGAGGGTCTCGGACACGTGAATTTAATGCATAAAGTGATTGATAATGATTGAATATGTGAATTGATCAAGATATTGCTTCTAGTGGTGCAGCAATGTTCTTAGTATTGCAGCATTGTTCCTAGTGTTGCAGCATTGTTCCTAGAGTTGCAGCATTGTTCCTAGAGTTGCAGCATTGTTCTTAGTATTGCAGCATTGTTCCTAGTGGTGCAGCATTGTCCCTAGTATTGCAGCATTGTTCCTAGTATTGCAGCATTGTCCCTAGTATTGCAGCATTGTTCCTAGTATTGCAGCATTGTTCCTAGTATTGCAGCATTGTTCCTAGAGGTGCAGCATTGTTCCTAGCGGTGCAATGAAGACCTCCTTGTGGCATTCACTTAATCAATAAACGCGTGGGTCCGACTGTGGTCTACTCACCCGGTTTCCTCTCTACTCTACCATATCAACACGTAGCTCTCAAATCCCTCTTAGATCCTAACATGCCCCCATCTATAGTACAGGTATCAATATAAGGTTACTGTCTCTCTATTACGTGGAGTCGGATACCATTCAATAGTTTATTTTTCTTCGCATTTAGTTCCAGTTTACAATATACATCATCTCTATTTAACGATGGTATGGATCCGTATTTGTAGAGTAATTAGAATATTTCGGTTGTTAGTTAATATCTAATCCCCCTTCTCCTCCCTACCTCACCCTCCCTCCCTCCCTCCCTCACTCTCTCCCTCCTTCCACTTATCCTCTTCCCAAACAGATGGTTCACGTGTTAATTGATGATGTTTTCCTCCTCAGTGCCGGTGTCTACCATAGCGGGCGTGGCAGGAGCTCCCTCACAGCTGCCGTGCGTAGTCATACAGAACCAGCTAGGGGACACGCCCATCCTGGTGCTCTGGTATAAGGACGGTGCTCGCCGGCCATTCTACACGTGAGTGCCTTTGACCTTTGACCTCTGTACAGTATATACGTTTCCTCTCGTTTATTTACCTCCACACATAATTAATTAGCCCTTGACCTTTGCCCGTGTATGTAAACCATTAGTACTACTCTTACTTCTACACCATCATTCTTTACCGTGACCACTGTATAAACTCCACTTTAGTCCAACACATCATCATTCACCATCTACATTCCTCACACTTTATCGTCTATGACACTACTTACGCATAATACCGCTTGCAACTCGGTCAAGTATAGGTAAAACACTCACCTCTTATCTCACACACACACACACACACACACACACACACACACACACAAACAGATCATTATCACCTTATCATTGTAAAACGAAATATACCTGTCACTTAATTACAGGTATACACTATCGATTAATCACCTAACACCCTGGTGCCTCACTGTCATTAAAGTCATTCACCTCTCCCTTACATACCTGGTCAGGGAACGGTGTATACCTCAAACATTAATTACACCAATAAGAACAAGACATAACATTACATCAATAAGAACAAAACATAACATTACACCAATAAGAACAAGACATAACATTACATCAATAACAGTAAAAGATACATAACATTATATCATCAACAGAAACAAGAAAACTATCACTTATGAGAGGTCAAACTTCAGGGTCAATACAGGTGTGTACAGGTAATTCGGGGCGTAATTTAAGGTGTGGAAACTCACAGCAGGTGTGCTTTGTGAGGTGTGTGTTTGACTGATGGATGGCACTGAATGATGTATAATTTCACAGGATACGGATGCCTTTTTTACCTGTGGAGGGCCAGTTATATGTGGGACAGAGGCTCGTTGTATGTGTGTGTGTGTGTCTGTCAACAGGATGTGGGGGAGGAATTATGAAGAAGGTCGATCGTCTTACGCGCGTGTATATGTTTCTGTGGTGAGTGTGTGTGTGTGTGTGTGTGTGTGTGTGTGTGTGTGTGTGTGTGTGTGTGTGTGTGTGTGTGTGTGTGTGTTACCGCTCGTGTTTCAGGGAAGTTTGCATTAAAACCCCTGATATGCCGGACTTGTATGGCCCAATATCAAGGAATAACCCAAGACGACCGGACAACTCGCTAACTGCACTGGCTAACCATAAACCCTATTTCAAACTCCACCAATCAAGGAAAACTGACGAAAATAAATTTGACTTGAGGATCGAACCTGGGACCACACACACACACACACACACACACACCTTAAAACTCGGTCTCCCAGGTGGTACTAATGAGTCAGTTAATAGAGACATAAAAGAATGCAGTAAAAGACCTTAGCACTCACAGTCAGCTACACGTTCCCTCCCTCACGTAACATCACCTCGTCATAACATCACCTCGTCATAACATCACCTCGTCATAACATCACCCCGTCATAACATCACCTCGTCATAACATCACCCCGTCATAACATCACCTCGTCATAACATCACCTCGTCATAACATCACCTCGTCATAACATCACCTCGTCATAACATCACCCCGTCATAACATCACCCCGTCATAACATCACCCCGTCATAACATCACCCCGTCATAACATCACCTCGTCATAACATCACCTCGTCATAACATCAGCTGCAGCTCCTTCTACCAGACTGTAACTCCCGACAGAAATAAAAAACGTCGCGTAGATATTCTTTTGTTTTCATTGTTTATTTATACTTAGCCAAAAGCCTAACAAAAAATATAATAGCGGTTTGTTGGATTGCTAAAGAAAGTATAATTTAAAAAGTCACCCTGAGCTTCTATTTATACCTATGCGGTAAAACAAAGGTTAATTATACGGAGTTTCTTACAACATCTGTCAGCTCATTAAGAGAGACATTACCTGTGAAAATAAAAACTACATTAGTATATCAATAAAGTTTATATATTTTTTTGTGTATCTCCAAAACATTATAACTCAATTATGCTATTCTTACCGACATGTAAATGATATCACCGGAAGATAAAGCCACCCTAACCTAACCTAACTTAACCACGATAACCCACCTCCTCTTAACACCCACACCACCAACCTAATAGTTACTGCCCTCTGAAGCCTTGCTTTTTAGCACACCATTATACACAGACACCCTATAGTTACTTTGCCTCTGAAGCCACACAACACCATTAGCTTCAGACACCTAGTTACTGCCCTCTGAAGCCTCACACACAGCTTCAAACATACACCAGATAACCATAAACATAAAGCCTCACATTGACAGCAGCTCCTCAACACAGCACCTGACCAAAGCTGCCCCCACCTCACTGGTCAGGGAAAACGTCCAGATAGGTCATTAACAAACAGACGTATTCATTAACGGAGGAGTTTCTGTTGTGTTTCATTAAGAACCTCGCCATTAAGGTATTAGGTAAACATTACGGCCACTAAGTCCTACGCGTTGATATTGCCATGACCGACTGACTGATTGATTGAACCGAGCCGCCCTGAGCAAGAAGAGGCGGAGTAGGCCATGGTGAGATTCTGTACATTTTACTTATCAAATAAATCACTTTTATCTCTCTCTCTCTCTCTCTCTCTCTCTCTCTCTCTCTCTCTCTCTCTCTCTCTCGTTTTATTTCTATATTATTAATCACCAAGTTTAAGACACATTTATTAAGTGTTATTGCTGCGTGAAATTTAGGTGCTTCAACTAGCAAGCACCGAGCGGGCCTTGCAGCCTAACAGCGAACAACTTGTTAACAAAAACTTTGAGGCAACACAAAGCCTCATCATTACCACCGTTATCACAATATTGATTTACCTGCATCGTCCTCCACACCCACCTGGTAAACTTTGCATATTATTACCAATAAGGTGAAGAAGATAGGCAATATTCTCAGCGATGTTTTTGCAATTTAGTGCAACATTTGTTCAGCTTTTCCAACACCCAATTTGCTTAAAACTGAAGGGCTGTAATTTTCTTAAGATTAGAGCACAATGGAAATTTGCCTGAGATTAGGTTAGGTTAGGTTAGGTTAGGTTAGGTTAGGTTAGGTTCTTCACTATCTGGCGTATGGAAGATTAATAATATAATAGCCATCTGAAGGTGAAGTATCATCTTCTCTGGGCCTTTATTACAGTCACCTCTACTTCCCTGTTTGGTTTTCTCGACACACTAACACACGAGAGTAATCAATAACACGAACATTAACATGAACATAATTAAACAATAACAAAGACGACGACAACAACATTTTCATCACTCAGTCGAACACGAAGGTATGGCGTCAGCTGGTAATGTACACAACTTCCATCAAAAAAGAGTAAACTTCTACATCAAACTGCCAGAGTATCACACACACACACACACACACACACACACACACACACACACACACACACACACACACACACACACACACCGATCATTGAATTCCTCGATATTGGAATCCACAGGTCGTGTAGGGCGGCGTGGATACAGCATACAGCCCCACTAAACCTTCGGTATACAAGGAGGCAGGCAATATGGCCGTAACACCATCGACCAAATACCTAAACTTCCATAACCGTGAAATTAGGTACCCATTTACAGCTGGGTGGACGGAGGGTATTCAGGCGCCCACCATTTGGTCACCACACCTTAAAAAACTTCCTGCATACTCCAGTAAAACACCGTGAAAGGATATGATTAAAGAAATACGTGATGTCGAGGAAACAGGCCACAAGAAATTTCTCAGAAACTCACTAAATATACTCGCTTACACCTACAGTACACCGCTTCCTGGAGATAACAGAAGTATTTATAAGGTCACCCCATTAACAACTGTAGATGATGATGATTATACGGGGTGCAGGTGGGAAGCCTTCACACACACACACACACACACACACACACACACACACACACACACACACACACACACACACACACACACACACACACACACACACACACAGAGAGAGAGAGAGAGAGAGAGAGAGAGACGAGTATAATAGCGTTATGTTGATGGAACACATTTACTCAACACTGTGTCACTGGGCGCTACACACTATAACATTTTCGGGGTCGCCTTCAGCCTTTCTACCTGTGTATCCATCCAGAGGCTTAACTGCACCTCTTATTTTGGCCTGGAGACGTTTGGAATGTGACCATAACTTACACACCTCCTCCGTTCTCCCCCTTGGACAAAGAACACAAAGGAACAAGAGACCATGAATTCTGGGCATTATGCTTCCGCCTCACGAATATGCACTGATAGCCTGGTGGACGACTGTGTTGTAGGGTGACGTCGTCCCTGGGGGGAGTCTGTTGATTGGTCAGGGAGGTTACAACGTCACGCTAATTAAGGAATATGAACTTATAATGACAGAACAGAATAAATAGAGTGAAAGCTAAACAATTCGAATTAACTAACGAGGAGGATTGTAAAATGAGGCGTATTTTAGGATTAGCCGTACAGGTGTTACAACAAAATACCAGAGAGAGACTGTCACTCGGACTCACGGTAGACTGGTGAAGTAGCGTGGCACTCAACAGCCGGACTAGCGTGGCACTCAACAGCCGGACACAAAGCTAGAATTCCGAATTTTGCAGGACATTTCTGGTGCTGTTGGGAATAACCGTAACACTGCGAAAGATATCAATGTGTTGCTATGGGGGGGGGGGGTATATTTGTTCCTCCAATTTCAGTGTTATTCCGAATTAGCAGATATAACGTTGGCTGGTATAATACTGTACGAATTATCGGTATTTAAATATTATGCTGTATGATTTAGTGAGGTTTCTCTGTCACCCCAAAGGTTGTATTAACAGTGAGTGCATTATGAGAGATATTTTAAATTAACATAATTTCAACTTAGTTCTAAAGGTTAAAATTAAATATTCGTAACGAAAGCGTGTCGGATATTAAACATCTAAAATAATTAAGTATATTTTAATACTTAAAAACTTATGTAAATACAGCATATGTTTATATTACAATAAAACGTATTCTCGTTGATTTAACTAACTGGGGAAAAGGTCTTTATATTTGGTTATTACAAGGGAATGATTACACACATAACAGTTATTGCTGACAACGCCACAACACTCAGCATTTATTAATTACTGACAATTAGAGTAAACAAAATAAAAAGTGAAATGTATTAACTATAGAAGCGTCCGTCACACATGACAAATGAAATCATCTCTACGACAGCTGACAGTTCCTGCATGACGCATGACAATCATCCTTTGACAGTACAGTACATATCTCACCATCATCCCTCTACTGTATATTACAGCTGTCAACCTTCCCTCTCTATGACGACTAATCCCCAGTGAAGTTATATTACATACGACTGTACTCTATATAACAGCTGGTAGTCTAGTCTCGTCTCACCTAACCTCACCTCACCTAACCTAACCTAACCTGACCTGACCTAACCTGACCTAACCTGACCTAACCTAACCTATCATAACCTAACCTAACCTAACCTTCATCGTATAGTACAGCTCTCAATCCTGGCCCCGTGTAGTGTCTTAACAGCAGTGCCTCTCGATAACAAATGGTAACCTCCCTTCTATATAGCACCTGAGAACCTTCAATATATGTATATAGACACTGAGCAACAAAATCTATCTGTGTTAGTCCCATCATGACCTTTCTGTCTACCTATTTGCGTGTGGACAATGTGCTTCCTTGGGTAGGTGATAACTAGGGTGTTTAAATAGAGTGATTAAGGTTAGTCATTAACGATTAAAGACTAAAATATAGATGTTAAGTGTATGTATGTTCGTCATATTGTCCTCTACAGCGGTAAGTTAACCATCGTTGCTGTTGTTATCGTCACACTGTTGCCCTGTTTGTTTTTTTCCCTGAATGTTTGGGGGAAAAAAATCTGTTGAAAGAAACACTTCGACCCCTACACAATAAAGGCTTTCAGTACAGGGGAATTGTAGGGGAGGGAATGGAAAGTGGGGGATGGATGTGTGCGTGAGAGAGAGAGAGAGAGAGAGAGAGAGAGAATACAGAGGGACTGATAAAGGGGGTGATGTAAAAATGTATTAGTAAAAAAAAAAGTAACATCCCTTTTATAGCAGCTAATTTAATCCTCTGAAATTTAAAATATTTATCAATGACTTTTATTTCTTCAATAGTTAAAGAAAAACTTCAAGTAATACTTTTTCATGGTACATAAAAAAAAATCATACAAAATAGAATATAAATTTCTCGTGGAATTTTAATAATTTTTAACTGAAATTCACGGCTGCAAAAAAAAAAAAGTAATACCTTGAAAAAAATACGTATTATCGGCAACTCTAGTACATGTAGACACGGGATGGTATAAAGTCTACGGTAACCGCCACCCACGTTTAACTACCAACACCCTCTACAGTCACCTCGGCATCTCTTCTGTGTCACCTCTTGAGTTTTGGGGCTTCGTTGGTCAGCCTAATGTGTTAATCGCTTATGACTGACTGACTTACTTACTGACTGAATGGCTGGCTGTCTGGCTGGCTGAATGATTAACTGACTGACTGACTGACTGGCCAACCGACTGACCGATAAACTGAAAGTCAGAGCGGTATAATATTAATTCGTAACAACACCTCTCCCTACACACCGTCTTTCTTGGGGAGACTTTAAGCCGCTGTACGGTATATGGAAGACACACACACACACACACACACACACACACACACACACACACACACACACACACACACACACACACACACAAGCAACAGTCTTACGGATAAACGGGCAAGCTCTTTACCTCTTATCTGCTGTTGGCTCTCTTAAGTGAACGACAAGGAGAGGACTAAGTGAACGACGAGGGGGAAGACTTTAAGTGAACGACGGCAGACGAAGGGAAAGACCAGTCACCACTACCCAGACACTTTATCTCTCTATCATCTCTCCCCAGAACTACCAAGAGACACCACCAATAACCTCATATCTCTATCTCACACCATCTATCTCTATTTCTTAACACTCCTCAATTCTCTCAACCATCGCTACCTTACACAATTACAAAGAATTTAATGAAATGAAGTTAATTACACTCTAATTACCAATACCTGTCTAATTCTGTTCTTTTTTCCTCGCCTTTTCCCTCCAGACTCGACCTGCGAGAGAGTGGGGACAAGGAAGTGTATGCTGACCCAGATATCAAAGGTCGTGTGAGGTCAGAGCTGAGGGGGAGTTACCTGACCCTTGACCCTCTGCTGGGGTCAGATGCCGCCAGGTACAAGTGTCGTGTAGACTTCCAGGATGGTCCCACGAGGTCAGCCCTTGTCAACCTTACTGTATATGGTGAGTGTGTGGCCACCTTTACCCCCTCCCCTTACCCTATGTCTGTTTCGTTAGCTTCACGGTAAGTCTCTCTTCCTTCTCTGCTCCTCCTCTTCATTCTCACTGGATAGGTTTGAGTTTTTGTGGTTTCTACTTCCTTCTATTCTGTCTCTATTTACATCGATTCATCTTTACATCTCGTTACTTTCACTGCAATGTACCAATCCTGTGTTCCTTTTTCAAATCCCCTTTTCCATGATACTTTACATACAGAGTAAATTATGTAATCAAAATATGATACTTGTGGGGTAAAGTGACATAGCCTGACTGAAACCGCAATAATACGGTGATTAAGTTGGGCTGTAACTACAATAATACACTAATAATGTAACTATACTAATAGAGTGCCTGTGTTTATGTACTTTTACAGTGGTACCGTCCCGTCTCGTGGTTCAAGACGAGAACAGCCGAGCAGTGCCAGCCGGCAGCCTGGGTCCGCTCACCGAGGGAGACAAACTCACCCTCTACTGCGTCGCTACAGGCGGTAGGTCGTCCTCCAACCTCCCTCTCTCTATTTAAGGGTTGTAGATCAAACGGAACTTAGTCCTAATAGAACGTATCCTAACCATTGAGGTCGAGTCCCATTTGGGCCATTAGGACTGGGACCCATTAAAACTTCGATCTACAGTATAAGGGCAGGGAACGACTTGAACTGGGTTAAAAAACTAATGTTTAGATTAAGTTATTGGTAACTTACGTTGGTAAGTTAGGTTAGGTTAGGGTAGGTCCCATTTGGACTAGAGCAAACATGACGCCTTCAAACTTAACACATACTGACCTCTCTTGTCTTTCCTACAGGCCGGCCACCACCCAAAGTCACCTGGTGGAGAGGGAACCACCTCCTAGCCAACCGCAGCCTCGTGCTAGGCCAGGACGGCACCCTCTTAGCCTCTCAGGAAGTCAATGGAGGCCGCCTCATGAGCGTCGACGTAGGCATGGGAGTGATGTACGTGAGGACGGAACTAACCATCCCCGAACTAACCAGAGATTACGCCAGGGCCAACCTCACCTGTAAAGCCTCCAATAACAACATCACCGAGGCGCTCTCCACCACCATCTCCCTCGACGTTTATTGTGAGTGTCCTCTCTCTCCCTCTCTCTCTCTCTAACCTAACCTAACCTAACCTATCCCAACGTACACCTAACCTAACTTAATCTGACGACCCTCTGGTTGTATCAGTTAGCTGGAGTTTAGTCACTTCGTCACCATCTGCAACATTAATAATGCTCGTCCGTCACTGTCGTGTAAGATACAGTCGAGATCAAAAGTCTTGTCATACCTTTTCTGCTGCTTCACCGACGCCCCAGATTCATTCTCGTGAACCCGAAGCAGAAGACACTGATCCATTATACCGCCCATAAATGCTATTCGGATTCACAAGTCTGAATTTCGTGCGTTCGTGACTTTTGACCTCGACTGTACACTATAACGATCCAATTCGCGTATCATCCCTGTATGTCAAGCAAACCTCACCTTAACAATGACCTTAACGATGAACAATTAAAAGAGACAATTATGTTCACAACTACAACCTCCCAAACTGTACCATGCTCAAGGTGTTCAGAAATAAACTTTTTAAAGCATGTATTACCCAGATAAATATAGGAGTGTAACCTGGAAATAATTAATAACGATAATAATTCACTAAGTTTGGTTTAGAAAATATTAGGAAAATAATTCTTCTTCTACTCCCATAATAGAACTTAAGACCATAATGGAACGAAGCACGAATAACTTTAACCCCTTACGACATCGTACTCGAGGATTAACACATCGTACTCGAGGATTAACACATCATACTCGAGGATTAACATCGTACTCGAGGATTAAAACATCGTACTCGAGGATTAACACATCATACTCGAGGATTAACACATCATACTCGAGGATTACACATCGTACTCAAGAGAATGGACCATGGTCGCCTTCAAGGGTTAATATAACTTAATCAGAGTACACTAATTCACTGTACTCAAGAGACTAAGGTAAAGCACTACTCAGTTATCGTGTTCCGTAACGTGAATTCAGTACACGTCTTAAACGTAATGTATTATGTATCTTACCGTAATTAATAACAGATCCTCGAGAATTTACTGTACACGTATTTGACTTACTTTTACCATAATTCACGGATCATCATAATGCCAAAAAAAATGCACAACAGGAACGTATCAAGTTGAACAAAATACACAACAGGAACGTATCAAATTAAAAAAATGCACAACAGGAACGTATCAAGTTAAAAAGATGCACAACAGGAACGAAAAATATTTTGGAGGAAAAAATGGAGAAATAAAACCTACACCACTAAATATGTTTCCCCAGCCTCCATAACGTGGGTTCCTTGGGCTTACACAGCGAAGGAGTAGTGAATACCCCCCCCCCAGCAGCTTATGAACTGAGGTAATCCCATGTCACCTGGAAATGCTGCGACTCCACGGTGAATTGCCTAGGGTCTTGATGACAGCTGATCAAACACCTTGAGTTGGGTCTCTGCCAGCCTCAGGGGGTACACGACGAGGAAGAGGAAGAGGAGGAGGAGGTACTGGAGGAGGAGGAAGAGGAGGAGGAGGTACTGGAGGAGGAGGAGGAGGTACTGGAGGAGGAGGTGATACAAGAGGAAGAGGAGGTGCTGGAGGTATAGGAGGAGGAAGAGAAGATACAGGAGGAGGAGGAGGAAGGAGGAGAAGATACAGGAGGAAGGAGGAGAAGATGCAAGAGGAGGAAGAGGAAAGGGGGGGCGGTGAGAGATGACTGAATAAGCTGCCATTAGACCAGTTTAAGCTCCCAGCTCAGCTACTGTATCAACCAACCTCTTGAGTCTCGTGATGGATATTGAAGCCAAGACATATGGCTGAAATATATTACAGCTAAGACATATGGCTGAAATATATTACATCTAAGACATATGGCTAAAATATATTACAGCTAAGACATATGGCTGAAATATATTACAGCTAAGACATATGGCTAAAATATATTACAGCTAAGACATATGGCTGAAATATAGTACATCTAAGACATATGGCTAAAATATATTACAGCTAAGACATATGGCTGAAATATAGTACATCTAAGACATATGACCGAAATATATTACAGCTAAGACATATGGCCGAAATATATTACATCTAATACATATGACCGAAATATATTACAGCTAAGACATATGGCTGAAATATATCACAGCTAAGGCAGATGGCTGAAATTAATTAGATAAGACATGGCTGAAATATATTAAAGCTATAACATATGACTGAAATATATTAGATAAGACATATGGCTGAAATATATTACATCTACGACATATGGCTGAAATACATTACAGCTAAGACATATGGCTGAAATACATAACAGCTAAGACATATGGCTGAAGAATAACCAAAGATAAGGAATCAAGACTACCCGACAGCTTCAATGACCATCAAAGCAAAGACACATCCCTGGAAGCTAATTAACTTATCTTTTCCCCCTTCTCTTTATTTTATACCTATTCTTTCTTTTTCTCTTCCCCATTCTCATTATATATCTGTGTAATTCTCTATTCATCTCTTTCTCTCTCCCTCCCTTACTTTCACTCTTTATCTATTCTTTACTTTCACTCTTTATCTCTTCTCTACTTTCACTCTTTATCTCTTCCTTACTTTCACTCTTTATCTCTTCCTTACTTTCACTCTTTATCTCTTCCTTACTTTCACTCTTTATCTCTTCCTTACTTTCACTCTTTACCTCTTCCTTACTTTCACTCTTTACCTCTTCCTTACTTTCACTCTTTATCTCTTCCTTACTTTCACTCTTTATCTCTTCCTTACTTTCACTCTTTATCTCTTCCTTACTTTCACTCTTTACCTCTTCCTTACTTTCACTCTTTACCTCTTCCTTACTTTCACTCTTTATCTCTTCCTTACTTTCACTCTTTATCTCTTCCTTACTTTCACTCTTTATCTCTTCCTTACTTTCACTCTTTATCTCTTCCTTACTTTCACTCTTTATCTCTTCCTTACTTTCACTCTTTATCGCTTCCTTACATTCACTCTTTCCCGTTTAATTTTTTCTCTAATATTTACGATAAACTTTCAAGACCTCAACATCATCCACCCTCTCCTTCTGTGTGTTGCAGTGCGGCCGTCGTCAGTATTGGTGAAGGCGCCAGAGAAGCCTTTGGTGGAGGGCGCCCGCGAAGCCTGTGTGTGTGGCCTCCGGTGCGTACCCCTCAGCCTCTATCCTCTGGGAGAAGACACAGGGAGGCAAGACCATCAAACTCAAGGGCACGGTAAGTCTTCTCCCCATGGCCTTGATCAAGTCTTACAAAATCTATTTTAAGTCCAACACAAACAAACACAGACACACCGTACATTGTTGTCAGCCGAACATTAACACCCCCCCCACCAATACAACCTGCAACAGTATATACCAAAAAGTTTCCTTATCCTTCTGATACACCTCGACAAATTAACTTATGGGACACCCTGTACATAAATCACATAGGAGTATTGGTATAAATGTTTGCTTTGATTTCTGATATTATATATTTTTCCTGTATATTTCAACGACACCTTCACGTTTTATAACACTCGAACTTCATTAAATTAATTGGCAAATTCAATTCCATCAAGAGGGATATGTTTAAATACACGAAAACTATTTTATTTATCATTATTGTAACTTCGTATATGATTCTTATCTGATGAAATTAGTTGATATATTACTTTACTTCTGCAGGTAATCATTTATTTAGTGGCACTCTTGCCTACATTCTCACTAGTGCCACTCTCTCGTCCCCTACAGTCACGCGTCATAGGGGACACCACCTCGTCACATGTCAGCCTGGTGCCTGAGGCGTCTGACCACGGGGCGAAGCTGACCTGCCGGGCACACAATCCTAACATATCAGTCCAGGGCGTCCACACCTCCACAGTCCTCCAGGTGACTTGTAAGTACCAATACCCTGATGATACACCTGAAGCAAGGGTGACCTAATTATGTTACCTGTGTCACCTGACGTTTCATACCTGCAGGGGGAGGGGGGGAGGAGGGGGTCTTAACTGTTACCAAACTATCTATAGGGCCCACCATAAAGAGATGACTAGTTATCAAGATTTTTACCTGTGTCTGAGAAGGTGGATAGGCAAGTAGAGATCGATGAACAGGTAGATAAACCGCTGATTATCTACGTATATAGAAGGTAAATATTACTCAGATTATTAGAGAATTAGAAACACACACACACACACACACACACACACACACACACACACACACACACACCCCGATTGGAGGGAAGGTTGTTGGTTGTGGTCACGCGTAAAAATTGTGAGAGAAATAACATTACGACCGACACGCCAGCAGAAATAGTTCGCTTTATCTCACTCGCCATAAATATGATAATTGACTTATCTGCAAATTCCCGCCCACTTTGTAAGCTTCAAATGTATTTTACTGCTAATGGTGACGATAACTAGGTCATAATGTTTGCAAATTCCATATATCGAATTTGCATTTATTTGGATTGAATTACCATGCACTCTTTTTTTTTTTTTACCAGGCATCGAATACCCATTAGTGGCATCGAAGGCTTTATACTTTCACCGATCTGAGGGGTATTTAATCCTCTCTGTGAGCTGTTACTTACACTACTAAAACTCTTTAATTGCTACCAGGACGCCCAAGAGGAGGCCTTAAAATCATAACCATAATTCTCTTATCAGTTTTTGTAATGGACACAAATTCCTCCCTCGGTATTTGTATTGGAATGGAATATTTAAGCGATAAGAATCTTCCTATTGTGAATGGAGTGAAAGTCAATAAAGGACTGTTGGATTATAAGTACAATTTATACATGTGTGATTTACGTGAATAATGAATATAAATAATCCTTGTTATTATTCATTACATTATATTATAGGAGTTACTAATGTCTGTCGCCTCTAGTTATGAAGTTGTTTATTATTATCATTATTATTATTAATTTCTTTGTGCATCTTTTCATCCATTTCATTCTTCATTTAGTGTTCTCGTGTAGTAGCTTATCACCTCTCTCTCTCTCTCTCTCTCTCTCTCTCTCTCTCTCTCTCTCTCTCTCTCTCTCAACCAATCATCTCCAGTAAACTAAACCACTGCTCTCTCTTTCTCTCTCTCCCACCTTACAAACAGTTGCTCCCAGGGTGAAACTCCGGCTGGGGGCTAATCTAGGTGACCGACCCATAACTGAGGGCGTGGACGTATACTTCGAGTGTGAGATCTCCTGTAACCCTCCAACCCGGGACGTAGTTTGGAACAAGAACGTGAGTATTGATGACCTGTGAGGTTGAGGTGAGGGTGAGGTGGGGTTGAGGTGAGGTTGAGGTGGGGTTGAGGTGAGGTTGAGGTGAGGTAGAGAGATGGGAGTGTAATGTAGGAGAGAGGACGAGAGGGAGAGACAATATAATGAAAGATGACATAGAGGGAGATAGAAGGAGGAGATACAGGGAGAGATGATGGATAAAGGTGAAGACAAAAAGGGAGAGATAGTAGAATATGAGAGATGGCAGAGGGAGATAGAAGGGGAAGACACAGGGAAAGATGAATGAATATGTAAACAAAGAGAAGACAAGAAGAAAGACGAAAAGACAGAAGAGGAATAGAAAGGAAAGAGAGAAACAAGGGAAGGTGAATAAATAAAGACAAAGACGAAGAAGAAGAGGAGATAGATGAAGACGGAGATTACATATAAAGAGAGGAGTAGGGAGAAACAGAGAGATAACGCAGAAGAAAATATGAAGCGGAAAGAAAACAACCAAACAAAAGAGAGAGAGAGAGAGAGAGACTAAAACGGAACAAAAAACAAACGTAAAAAAACAAAACAATAAAAATAGGAACAAAAAGAAAGAAAATAAGACCCGTCTGTTTTGAGTTGAATGGCTAGATCTATATGATACGTCTTGGAGTGGTATTAAAGGCTGTAGATAATGTCACATACAAAATTGCCGATATAAAGTGAGTTACTCTTTCTATTTATAATGAGACAGGGTTCAGAAAATATAGAAGCGAGGAGTTTGTGACTTTGACATTTATGGATAAAAACGATATTATTTTCTTTATTTTGAGAGAGAGAAAGAAATGACGAAACGAGATATTTTTGGGTAAAATTTCAATATATTTTTCCTTCACAAATAAAGTTCGGAACTTTATTAACGTTAAAATACAAAGAAATAATCACGATGGGAAAAAAAATTACTGTTCCAGATTTAAGAGATTAATCTCCTTAGGAATAAAGATACAAACAGATTTATTCCAGATTTAGAGAGAGAAAAAAAATATCAGGAAATAAATAAAAAGAACCAACCTTCTTGTTCCCGATTTAACACACACACAAAAAAAAATAGCAGGAGGAACACAACTTCTTGAAATAAAGAGACAAGTACCTGTTTGTATGAGGGCCGGGGTTTAAGTGTAAATTGAATTGGGGTGGACGAGAATGCCGCGGGGTAACATTAAATCACTCGGCCGAGATTGTCAACACGAGCGAGGAATTTAAGCCCTTCGGTATGATTTGGGGAGGACAAATATCACGAATTGTACCGCTACCACCAACAACAGTGCCACCCACCAGCAGAAACAGTACCACCCACCACCACCAGCAGTGCCACCCACCACCACCAGCAGTGCCACCCACCACCACCACCACCATGGTGCACCCACCACCACCAGCAGTGCCACCCACCACCACCAGCAGTGCCACACATCAGCAGCAGTGCCACCTACCATCAGAAGCAGTGCCACCCACCATCAGAAGCAGTGCCAACCACCAGCAGCAACAGTGCCACCCACCACCGGCAGCGCCACCCACCACCGGTAACACCACCCACCACCACTACCTCCACCACACACACTCAGACATGGGTTACATTCACCGACACCTGCCTGGGTACGAATCAGGGGAAGGAAGAGGAAGTGTGGAGGAGAGATGGCAAGAAGGAGAGGAAATAATGCAAAACTAAAACTGTGTGTGTGTGTGTGTGTGTGTTTAATAATAAGATAGCTTTTTCTTAGCTTACTGAAAGGTGCTCTCTCTCTCTCTCTCTCTCTCTCTCTCTCTCTCTCTCTCTCTCTCTCTCTCTCTCGTATTCAATCCGAGTCTTATCCATCAATACAGGAAGCCTATCTATTTCTAACCACTGAGACCTATCCATTACCCGTAACAAAGCACACCTGCCCATTACCCTATCCTCCCCATTAATTTCACTCTATCCCTCCCACACCCATCCTCTCTATAACGTTAACTAGACCTTTCCATACCCAGAAGAAGGACAATTATCTATCTATCTAGCTATCTATCTTCCTTCCTTCCTTCCTCTACTTGAAGGAGAATTAACCAACCTGAGGGATGAAGTCATCTCCGTTTCTCTCCCGCTTGGAAATGTAATTCTTTTATGGGAATTGATGAGGGATCGTGAGTGTCATCAATATGGAAATAAGGAAATGCCTTGGTAGACGTCGCCAGCGCCTCCCCCTCTCCTAGAAGGTCCCAGCACCCATAAACTTCCGCCAGAACCTATAGACGCCACTAGGACCTGTAGACATCACCAGAACTAGTTGGCATAGCTAGAACCTATAGACGCCACTAGGACCTGTAGACATCACCAGAACTAGTAGGCATAGCTAGAACCTATAGACGCCACTAGGACCTGTAGACATCACCAGAACTGGTAGGCATGGCTAGAACTCCTATAGACGCCACTGGGACATAGCAGACATCACTGCAGAACTAGTAGGCATATAGCTAGAACCTATATAGACATACACTAGGACCTGTGAACATCACCCAGAACTAGTAAGGCATGGCTAGAAATTCCTGGGCATACTGGGACCTTGTAGACATCACCAGAACTAGTAGGCATGGCTAGAACTATAGACCACTGGGACTGTAGACATCACCAGAACTAGTAGGCATAGCTAGAACCCTATGAACGCCACTTGGGACCTGTAGACATCACCAGAGACTAGTGAAGCATGGCTAGAACCTATAGACGCCACTGGGACCTGTAGACATCACCAGAGACCTTTAGTAGGCATGGCTAGAACCTATAGACCACTGGGACCTGTAGACATCACCCAGAACTGGTAGGCCTGCTAGAACCTAAACATACCAACACCACTCCCCCCTCTCTCTCTCTCTTCTCTCTCTGCCACACCCTAATTGTCTCTCAGGACTATTTCTTCTCATAACTCTCTCTCTCCTTCTCTCTCCTTATTGTCTCCCCATTACCAGTAAATAATCTCCCCATCCCCTTCCATCAGTCTCTTTGTATTGTCTCTCCTATGTACACTAACCTTTCATCTCTTATCAGGACTCTCTCTCTCTCTCTCTCTCTCTCTCTCTCATGTGAGGCATCATTGTTTCTCCTTGTCAATCACTGCAACACTGACTCAATTATTCTCTCTCTCTCTTGATCCCTTATATTCTTCCCCTGGTTTACTTTAGTAGTAGTAGTAGTAGTAGTAGTATGAGTAGTAATTGGCACGACGGACTTCAAAACCGAGTACGTAACGGGAAAGGTGAATGAGTGGGTTAGGGAAATCCAAGCACTGTCTGAGATTGCTAACACAGAGCCACATGCGGCGTTTGCGGAATTCACTCATGGAGTCAAGCATCGCTGGAACTACCTGATGCGCACTATCCCTGATATCGGACCCCTCCTTCACCCTCTGGAAGAAGCTATCAGCGTCAATTTCATTCCCAAATTAGTGAAACACCTTCACTTAACCCCAACAGAAAGATCACTCCTTGCACTACCACAGAGACTTGGGGGAATGGGATTGACCAATCCAGGGGAGATTGCTGCCACCGAACATCAAAACTCACGGCAGCCCTCACTGACCACATAATAGCTCAGAATGCAACAGATGACGTGGATACCAGTAAAGTAAACAAGATTCGAAGGTCCATTACGACAGAACGACAGCACGGCCAAAGTGATAAGTTGCAGCAACTGATGCTGCAAGTACCAGAGAATTTGAAAAAAAGTAGCTATAGCGCAGGAGGTGGGGGCCTCGAACTGGTTAACTACATTACCGATAAGGGCAAATGGTTTCAGTCTCAATAAATAAGAATTAACAGATGCCATTGCTCTAAGGTGCGGTTGGCTAGTAGAAGGTTTGCCCTCCCAATGCGTTGTGTGGCTCTTCCTATGACGTTGATCACGCTATGGTGTGCAAGAAGGGGATCTTCATATGCATGAGGCATGACGAAGTAAGGGATCTAACAGCAAATATGTTGAAGTAAATCTGTCATGATGTCAGGGTAGAACCGACCCTCCTTCCATTGGACGGTGAGAATTTCCAACATAGGACTTCAAACACATCCAACGAAGCCCGTGTTGACGTCAGTGCTCACAGATTCTGGACGCGGGGACAGCGAGCCTTCTTCGACATCAGGATTTTTCATCCCATGGCCGCATGTCACCGTAACTTAGCTCTCGATGCTGTACACAGGAGGAACGAGAACGACAAGATAAGGGCATATGGGGAGAGAATTCAGAACGTTGAACAAAACAGCTTCACTCCTCTGGTGTTCACAACCTCTGGTGGGATGGGACCAAGTGCAAGATGCTTCTACGCCAGACTCGCGGATGTGCTATCCAAAAAGAAGCAGCAGCCCGTCAGTTATGTTACAGACTGGATGAGATGTCGACTGTCGTTCTCTCTCCTTGGGTCTTTTTTGTTCTGCCTCAGGAGAACGAGAGCATCGGCCCCAAAGCCGACAACAGTTGCAGATATTGACTATGACGCAACAGTCATTGAATGCCGCATAGATTTGCAGCTCAACTAACTCAACACAGCTAGGATAGCTACTTTTGTATTAGGATATTTAATTTTAAGGTAATAAAATTGTGGCAAAGGTGTGGCTATTGGGGAAGGCTTTAGGCCACGTTAAAAAAAAATAGCAGTAGTAGTCGTAGAAGAGGATACTGGAGGTCAATAAAATATATAGCAATAACAACACCAAACAACACCTCACTATATCTCCCCCCACCCCCTCACCTGTACAGGGCCAGGAGGTTCACCCCGACAGAAAGGCGGGAGTGATCGTCTCTCACAGGAACCTGGTGCTACAGATGGTACGGCGGAGCTCAGCTGGGAACTATACCTGCACCGCCTCCAATCCCTTGGGGACCACCACGAGCAACAGTGTCCCCCTCTCCATACGCTGTGAGTACTTATGTACCTATGTTTGTGTGTGTGTCTGTGTGTGTGTGTGTGTGTGTGTGTGTGTGTGTGTGCGTGCGTGCGTGCGTATGTGTGTGTGTGTTCCTGACTACATTATACCATCAGCTCTTCACACACATATCTAATGGATCTCTCTCTCTCTCTCTCTCTCTCTCTCTCTCTCTCTCGCTCCTCTCTCTCTCTCTCTCTCTCTCTCTCTCTCTCTCTCTCTCTCTCTCTCTCTCTCTCTCTCTCTCGCTCCTTCCTTCACCCCATTCCTCCCTCACTCTCGCCCTCCCTCGTTCCCTCCCTCACCTTATCTCTCCCTCCATCGCCTCCTGCAGATCTCCCAGTGTGCATAGGTGGGGGTCAGACGGTGGCGGTGGCGGAGGGAGAAGACGTACGCCTGACCTGCCGAGTGGACGCCCAGCCTGACGACGACCTACACTTCATCTGGTACTTCAACAACACGCTGGACACTGTCGAGGTGGAGCGGCACAGGATCAAAGTTCGTCAAGGTCACAGCTTCTTAGACTACACGCCCAGGTGAGAGACTAACCCAGCAACACTTGACCATCCGCCTGTCTGTCTGTCTGTCTGTGTCGGTTAGGTTAGGTAGAAGAAAAAATAAATAAAGCAGCCAGAGATACAATCAACAAAGTTCCCCCCTTCCTCCTCCAGGGGTCAACACCGACCTCAGCAACTTACTGCAGCACCAACAATGACAACAGTTCTCTGCGGTGTCATTTGGCTGAGCGTCCACCTCACTCCCAGGAGGCCACTTACCCTTAAGTGAAAAAGTCAGACTCGTCGTACATTGGCAGACGAGAGGGTGTTGCAGACAGAGGACTTTGTTGCTAATTGGTCAGGTGTTGTCTGGTCCAACGAGAGCTTAACTTTGTAAATGTTGAAGCCTCGAGGTGACCTGACTACGATCATAATATCACTGGGTATTTGAGATGTCTTTTTAAGCTCCAGTTTTACTAGCGTTGAATGCATTTTAAAACACACACACACACACTTCTTCAATAAACCGTTTATTATTATTATTATTATTATTATTATTATTATTATTATTATTATTACACACACACACACATTGTCTCCTCTGAGCTTGGGAAAGTTTGGTATAGTTGGCTAGCAATAAACACATGTCGTTCACAAGCACTGAGAAACAAAAGGTGTAAAACGGAGAGAGGGAAGATAAGATAACGTGAACGAAAAGATAACATATACACACAAAAGACGGGAAAGGAGAGAGAGAGAGAGAGAGAGAGAGAGAGAATAATAATAATGAAAATAATACACATCACCAGAGGATATTACGCTATATATCAACCCGCTTTAACCCCTCGTCTGATTTATCCGCCTGGCGTGACTCCTTCCCTTTATTCAAGATTCTTCCGCTCTCCCACACCAGCGTAATCCTCTTAAGCCCTCTTCGTATCTCCCATTATTATATTTTATTCTTTATAAAGCCTTATGGCCATCCCGTGTTGTAGTGGTAGTGGTCAGGTGTGTGGACAGGTCTGGATAGGTATGTGGACAGGTCTGGATAGGTGTGTGGACAGGTATCAATCAAGTGTGTGGACAGGTATAAGTCAGGTGTGTGGACAGGTGTGTTGTGAGGTATCTGGAGCAGGTGGAGGTAGCGTGATGATGGTTCGTACGTCATGACTCTGAGTTCCTCTGTCATTACTGGGAGAAAGTAGATAATACCCTCTTCACTTATTTTGTACAAGTAAACAAAAAAAAAGAGCCGACGGTCTGTATGTTTTGCGTTGATGTGTGTGTGTGTGTGTGTGTGTGTGTGTGTGTGTGTGTGTGTGTGTGTACGTTCTCCATCATCACAAACATATGTCCACGAATCGGCCATGAGCTACCCAAGTTGTTCAGTCAGTGAGTTAGTCCTTGAAGTATAAGAGTATCTACTTAGCTGATACCACTACTACAAGACCTCATCACTGTCACCTACAACACAGCCAAGGATGTTGACACCACTCCCCCCAAACCTTTCTGTACTACAACAACATAAATAACATCAGAACAACAGATGCCACCTGTTATTATAATCAGCTAGTGCAGGTATGAACAGGTAATACAGATATACATTGTAAACCGCCTCTTGTTACCTTGACACCCCATTTTATATACCAACAACAGGTTCCCTCAACAGATGTGCATGTTCATCACGGTGTGTTCCCGCAGACTACATGTTCAAAAATATAATTAACCTTCACAGTTTATCTTGGTCTGCCTGGCAATGAGAAACAGTCTAACTGACTTAATTAATTTCTCCTGACCCGAAATAGAAACCGGGAACCGAATTTTCATACCAAGGGCACAAAGGTAAGGTTGGGTTAGGTTGGGTTGGGTTGGGTTGGGTTGGGTTGGGTTAAACTTAGGAGGACCAGAAATTGATAAGCATTCCTCAGTTTGAACCCTCAAGTTTGACCATGTACCTGTTTGACTCCCCCTTCCCGTTCCAGCTAGACACTCACTCCCTTGTATGTACTAATCTGCTCATCTCTGCCGCGGTCAGGTCAGCGAGAGACTACGGCACCTTGTCCTGCTGGGCGACAAACTCCGTCGGGATGCAAGCCGACCCCTGTATGTTCACCGTCGTGGAAGCAGGTGAGAGTAACACTGATTGCTGTTTGTACTCACGGCAAAAAGTATCTTTACGACTTTGATGCGAGACAATATGACACCACGGACGAAGGATTTTGACAACCGTACCGAGAAAACAGGAGTCGCGATGTTCATTTTGAAATTCATCGGTCCTCGCCCATCGCCCTATAGACACGTCCTGGAGCTAGTGCATATATCTGTCTACCTAGTAATTGTCTCTACCTGGTGATTAATTGCAACTGACTAGTGATTGTACTTATACGGTAACTGACTGTTCGAGCCCAGTGACTGACTGTATCTAACTGGTAATACATCACAGTTGAGTGATAATTGATATACCTTTGCGGTGACAGAGCCTAATACTCTTTCTGTTTAATCACATTCAAAGGAGGTACTTTACTGTCACTCTCCGTCCAGTATTTAGTGTACTGTCAGGTATTCATGAGTTGTACTTTGTAATTACGGGCGATGGACTGTATACTGTTGCAAAGGTAAACGATGCAATACATTTACTGTTTCTTGAGTGGCTAATTATCCTGCGTTGGCTGTACGTTCACGCCTCGAAAACAATGATTAACGTTCCTTGCCTCTCGGTCTTGCTGCTTTGAGTGTCTAATAAATTCACATTATCAAAAACAAGACCTCATTGGACTTTATTCCTTTAAAATGTAAGACCTCAGTAGTACCTAAAATTTTATGAAATATCTGAACTGTAAATTTGGTCAACATTTCAGGGATGTTTAACGACTTAACAATCGTTTAATAAAAAAAAAATCACAGTTCTCTTACTTAATCAGTCCTTTAATCGAACACCCGAAGAGATGTATATAGTTCTAAAAAGTTTGACTTCTATTAAAAAATTATGACTGTGTAGGACCTAGTGTGTGTGTGTGTGTGTGTGTGTGTGTGTGTGTGTGTCAGGGTTACACACACACCACGAACAAGAACACTATCTATCTCTCAATAGATTTATGTTTTTATTGAACACCGCAGCAGCGAGAGACGAGATACTTACCTATGCATATATTCATGAGGGTCTGAATATTCATACGACTGTCAACACAAAATGAATCTATATCCAACTATCTATTTCCACCTATCTATTTCCACCTATCTATTTCCTACTATCTACTTCCACCTATCTATTTCCACCTATCTATTTCCACCTATCTATTTCCACCTATCTATTTCCACCTATCTATTTCCACCTATCTATTTCCAGTTGGATATTTCCGCGGCGATACTTAAAGCGGAACGTTATAGTGAACCTTGGATGAAAAATATTCGGCGATGGAAAAAGGTGGTGATCTAGACAGCTGGTGAGTGGTGATCTAGACAGCAGCTGGCGGTGGTGATGCAGGTGGATGGTGATGGGAGGTGATCTAGACAGCGGTGAGTGGTGGTGTGATGCAGGTGGATGGTGATGGGAGGTGATCTAGACAGCTGGTGAGTGGTGATCTAGACAGCTGGTGAGTGGTGAACTAGACAGCTGGTGAGTGGTGAACTAGACAGCAGCTGGTGGTGGTGGTGATGCAGGTGGATGGTGATGGGAGGTGATGTAGGTAACTGGTGGGAGGTGATCTAGACAGCTCCGACCCTCACCTGCCGCCATAATGCAATTACCTTTAACTTTTCTTGCTTATGCCATTTCCCTGTGTTTTCTCATCTCTCTCTCTCTCTCTCTCTCTCTCTCTCTCTCTCTCTCTCTCTCTCTCTCTATTTCCTTTCTCTCTTGCTTACTTCCCCTCTCAGTCACCCTCCTCTTCCTTTCCTCCGCCATCTCTTTTGGACCCTCTTACTCTCTCTCTCTCTCTGTCTCTCATTAACCCCTTGTTTCTCTCTGCCTCCACCCTCCCAGGTCCTCCTGAGAGAGTGGGTAACTGCGTGTTGGTGAACCTGACGGTGGGAACCCTGGAGGTTGGTTGTACTCCTGGTAACGACGGAGGGCTGCCGCAGAGGTTCGTGGCCAGGGTGTACGCTTCCCCCACCCATACCCTGCTGGCGACGCTAGAGGAGGAAGAGCCCAGGTTCCACGTTGAAGGACTCTTTCCCGGGCAGGACTACCTCATCACCATCACGGCCGTCAACGCTAAGGGTGCTAGTGAGCCTGAGGAGATCGATGCCATCCGTCTTAAGGTGAGTGAGTTAGTTGTGACGCCATTCTTAAAGTGAGTCATGTTAGTTATGGTATACTTTAAAGTGAGTCAGTTTAATTGTGACGCCAAATGTCCTACAGTGAGTCAGATGAATGATGGTTCCTTCCTCCTTTAAGGTGTATCAGCTGAGTTATGACGTGAAACACCTTCAAAATAATTCAGGTGAGTGTTGACGTCATCCACCTTTAAGCGAGTCGAAATTGGCTGAGGAGGAACTAACGTAATTTTGAAGAGAGAATATCGCAGGTCAACCCATAGGTCAGGTCACAGGTCAGAGGTCAGAACCCACCAATCGATATTACATTAATTCAAAGGAAAGGGTATTTAGCGCTCTGATCAACACATTTCTGTCTGTTCTCCGCCGTCCTGGGAAGTGTAAACAGTAACTAAACGCTTCCCGTCCTCACCTTCGTTGGTCCGGGACAGGCCAACAAGATAACGCGAACGAGTAACAATTAAATTTAACCCAACTTGAGAGGCTAATCATAAACAATGGCAATACGGATAATTTCGATTAGTATTACTTTATATCACTAGTGCCAGGAGTGTGGATGGGGACCTAGTGTGAAGTGGAGGAGGACCTAGTTGTGACGTGCAGGAAGACCTTGTTGTGAAGTGGAGGAGGACCTTGTTATAGTGTAGAGGAGGACCGTGTTGTGATGTAGAGGAGGATCTTGTTGTGATGTGGAGGGGGACCTTGTTATAGTGTAGAGGAGGATCTTGTTTTGTCTTGTGGAGGAAGACCTTGTTGTGAAGTGGAGGAAGACCTTGTAATAGTGTAGAGGAGGACCGTGTTGTGATGTAGAGGAGGATCTTGTTGTGATGTGGAGGGGGACCTTGTTATAGTGTAGAGGAGGATCTTGTTGTGATGTGGAGGGGGACCTTGTTATAGTGTAGGGGGCCCTGTTGTGATGTGGAGGGACCTTGTTGTAGTATAGAGGAGGACCTTGTTGTGATGTGGAGGAGGACCTTGTTGTGATGTAGAGGGGGACCTTGTTATAGTGTAGAGGGAGGACCGTGTTGTGATGTAGAGGGGACCTTGCTATAGTGTAGAGGGGGAGTTTGATGGGATGTAGAGGGGACCTTGTTATAGTGTGGGGAGGACCGTGTTGTGATGTAGAGGGGGACCTTGTTATAGTGTGGAGGAGGACCGTGTTGTGATGTAGAGGGGGACCTTGTTATAGTGTAGAGGAGGACCGTGTTGTGATGTAGAGGGGGACCTTGCTATAATGTAGAGGGGGAGTTTGATGGGATGTAGAGGGGGACCTTGTTATAGTGTAGAGGAGGACCTTGTTGTGATGTGGAGGAGGACCTTGAGAGAAGCAATCTCAACAAAAGACTCACAAAGAGAGGGAGAGAGTGAAGTACAGAAGGTGGTGGGGACTGATCTTGTTAATAGCAATTGGCCGTCGTTCTTCACGCTGCCTCCCGCCCAGAATATTAAACATGATACATAATTGTCTCCTCGTCCTCCAACTTTTGTGTGTCGCGTCTTTAAAAAACTTGGTTGAGCTGGCAATTAAGAGAGACAGAAGGAGGGGGGGGGGCGTCTTTGTGTTTAACTTTTTCATCACGCACACATATACATACATAGGCACTCAACACACACACATGTACACATACGTACTGTATACTGTACACACACACACACACACACACACACACACACACACACACACACACACACACACACACACACTTTACACACACACACACTTTACACACGTACATACTGTAAACACAAACACACACTAGGAATATTCAATGTTCTGTTCTGAGAAATTACTAAGGACGAAGTGAGTGTGTGTGTGTGTGTGTGTGTGTGTGTGTGTGTGTGTGTGTGTGTGTGTGTTCGCACACAGGGTGGTGAAATGCGTCTAGTGTGGCAGCATTTTGTCAGTGTCAAGGTGCAAGCACTGCTTGCTCCCTCTCTCTCCCAGCTGCCGCCGCTGGCTAGCCCTCGTGGCCAACAGGGAAGCAACTCGCATAAGTTTTTCCCTGCCAGTATACAGCCTCTTATCCATCAAAAGTCCTCCTGTGCCTCCTCGTGGCAACACACGGTAACTGGGTGCCTCGTGGGCCCAGGCTAGACCAGCAGGGGATGTCGGAGTAGCAGTGGGCCCCAGAGGGACGGCGCATATAGGCCAACTGGCACGTGGACACGTCCTGGCGCCTATCATCCATTGCGCCACTGCCTTACAGATTAACCTTGGCATGTTTAAGGCAACAGGAGTAAACCCCGAACGAAAAATCTGCGGTGGAGCCCCACATCAGTGCTCCAGCAAGACCCCAACGGCGGTGTAGGCGGAAGAGGTGACCACCATGGGTACCCAACGACTACACCGGCAGACGAAGGCAAAGCCTGATGGACAGGCTACTTAGGCGAAACCCAACAAACTGGGCTATCATCAGTCCATTGCAACTCTCCATCCCCAGTCGTTGAAACTCTTGCACCACTGGATCAGGAAAAGGGGGAGCCAAGATGTGTGGTTGCAGCCTGAGCTCCTGCCTCACCACATAAATCAACTCATGCGCAGCCATCATCCAGCTCATCATACCTCTCATCATCATCAAAAGCCCTATACTCCCAAAAGTTCCATGGCGACAGACGAGTGGCGACGGGGATAGGCAGAGATGACTACCAGGAGTCTATAGTCACAACTCTGCACATAGGCAGCACAGATAAGATGGTCGCTTATGATCTTGGCACAAGTACAATCCGGTCCTGTCTGTGCGACTGAGCAGCCCTTTCGAGGAGCCACTCTGCTCACCCCACATGGGGAGGGAGCTAGAAAATGTGCCCTAAACATAGCCTGCCTAAAAAAACAACCTGACTGGGCAACCGCACCCAGTAAGGTCATCCTTATGTGGTCGAAAACACAATCAAAACCACAGATCCGAACAAAATCATGGTCGCTGCATGGAATGTCAGGACCCTTCAGGATACTGACACATATGAGTGTCCTGAAAGAAGAACTGCCCTTGTGGCAAAAGAGCCGGTTAGGTATAACACAGACATAGCAGCCATTAGTGAGTCCCGGCTCCCTGATGAGGGTCAACTCACAGAACGGGGGTCTGGCTATACCTTCTTCTGGAAGGGTAAGCCTGCTGCGGAGAGAAACCGCATTTATGGAGTTGGCTTTGCCATCCGCCAACGCACCCTACACAGGCTAACCGAAATGCCAATTGGGATCAACGAGCGCCTCATGACGCTTCAAGTCCCACTGAATCACTCACGTCATGCCTTTTTTACCAGTGCATACACCCCGAAAGTGGGTGCAGAAAATGACATTAAGGAGGCCTTTTATGCCGACCTAGACAGAGTGTTAACCTCTATCCCCAGAGAAGACAAGGTTGTGCTCCTTGGTGACTTCAATGCCAGAGTTGGCAGAGATACTAACATTTGGCAGGGAACCATTGGAGAAATGGACTAGGCAAGTGTAATCCCAACAGCCTACTCCTCCTCAGCAAGTGTGCTGCACACAGCCTCACTATCACCAATACCCTGTTTAGGCAGACCGACAAGTTCAAGGGTTCGTGGCAACACCCACGATTCAAACACTGGCATCTCATTGACTAGACCATTGTCAGAGAAAGAGGTCGCCGAGATGTCCTCATCACCCGTGCCAAGAGTGGCTCGTACCACTGCGACACTGATCATCAGCTCGTCAGATCCAAGCTCTCACTTCAGGATGCCCCAAAACAGCGAAGGCAGCAAGCCTCCAGAAGAGGTTTTAACACTAAGCGTCTGGAGGATCCAGCGATAGCACATGCTTTCAGAGAACAGTTCGAGCCTGGGCTGATAAACAACCTATCAGCAAACAACGAAAATCTCAGTGCCAAATGGGATACTCCATACACTGTTATGACAAAAGACTGCAGAGACCCTCAGCCAGATCGAAAGAATACACCAGGACTGGTTTGATGAAAATGACCAGGCAAACAATGTACTCATCGATGATAAACGTGCTGGTTTAAGTGACTGGCAGAACAACCCTCAGTCTCGGACCAAAGCTGACACCTTCCGCAAGAAGAAAGCTGTGGCCCAGCGCAAGCTTTGCAATCTAAAGAACGACTGGTTTAAAAATAAAGCATGTGAAACACAAAATTTTGCAGACCAGCACAAGATGCAAGAATTTTTCAATTCCACTAAAACATCTTATGGGCCAATCACTCATGGTGCAGCCTCCCTCCACTATATGGCAGCGAAAGGGAGATACAATAAAAAAATATAATCATAACCCCTTTCATTTTCGATCAGAACCCCTTTATTGGGATCAGAACCCCTTTATTGCGGATCAGAAACCCTTTATTGCAGATCAGAACCCCTTTATTGTGGATTAGAACCCCTTTATTGTGGATTAGAACCCCCTTTATTGCGGATCAGAACCCCTTTATTGTGGATCAGAACCCCTTTATTATGGATCAGAACCCCCTTATTGTGGATCAGAACCCCCTTATTGTGGATCAGACCCCCTTTTATTTTGAATCGCCAGGTGGCCGAGAAGAGGATGGGGGATGTTTCCGCACCGCCCGTGTCTCCCCTGGTGGGCGTGTTCCTGGGACTGGTGGGCGGGTTCGTGCTGCTCCTCCTAGCTGGTATCCTCCTCACTAGAGTGCGCTCCAACAAGTAAGTTTCCTTTGTGGCCTTTTTTCTTAATTCTACACTGTGTGTGTGTGTGTGTGTGTGTGTGTGTGTGTGTGTGTGTGTGTGTGTGTGTGTGTGTGTGGGTGTGTGTGTTCCTTCTCTTTCTCTGTGTATTTTTTCTATCTCTTTGTACCTTTCTTTCTCTGGCCCTCTGTCTGTCTGTCTGTCTCTTTGTTGATCAGTCTCTGTCTTTCCGTCCGTCTCCCTGTTGTAATCTTTCACTCTATCTATGACTCTCTTGTCATCTTTCTCTGACTCTCTCTTTCTGCCTTTGATCTCTCTCTCTCTCTCTCTCTCTCTCTCTCTCTCTCTCTCTCTCTCTCTCTCCAATATGATCGCCTCAACGCCACTAGGCTGCCTCCTCAATCTTCCTTCCCTCTCCCTTCACTTTTTCTCTCTTCCTCACCTCTCTTCATTTTTCACCCCTCATCCTTGCCCTTCATTTTGTCATCCTCCTTACCCTCTAGACTTCCCTCCCTCCTCCTACTCCTTACCTTTCATCCTTCTTTATCCCTTACTCTTCTCTTCCTCTCCTGAACCCCCTTCCTAAACAATCATCACTCTCACCTCCTCCTCTTTATCTCTCCCTCTTCCTCTACCTCCCTCACCACCATTGCCAATGTCAGGTCCAACAAGTATGCAAAATACACCTGACTGCATTACCTTTGCCTACTCCCTCCCCCCCCTCGTCTGCCTCTCATTCTCCCTCCTCCTTTTTTATCACCTTTCCTTCCATAATCATCATCCTCTTTCCTTTTCTTTCTTTACCTTTCTTTCCAACATCATATCGTTCCCTGTAATTCCCTCCATTCCTTTCATTCTTCTTCCATCTCTCACTCCTTCCCTTCCTAACATACCTCCTTCCACCCACGCTTTCCCTCATCATACCCTTCCTCACTCCCTTCACCTGCCCTTCCCCTTCTCTCTCTCCCCCCCCTTCCTCCATCTCAGGTAAACCTTCACACCTGCCCGATTACACACCTACCACCACCTCCTTCTCCTCATTACCTCTCGTCCACACACACTCACCCCTGACCCTTCCATCCTTCACACCGCTGACGTGACCATATCTTCACTCCTCACACACGCTAACCTGACATAAATTGGCCACAGAAACAGGTTCATATATCTACGCTTACCTATAACCTTGTAATTGTATTTCTACCGGACGAGTTTAGGTGTGTGTGTGTGTGTGTATATGTGTGTGTGTGTGTGTGTGTGTAAACTTCATCCATGTGTTTTTGTACGCTTCCGGGGATAGTCACTTAAAACAAAATCCCTTGATAAAAAATTATATATATAAAAGGATTCTTATTAGAGTAAAATTGATACGTAGAGATACATGAACGAACACACACACACACACACAATTCTGCTCCCAACTATACCGCCCTTCAGGATTTATTGACCAGTCTCCAAAACTGGGCCACCAACAACCATGTCACCATCAACCATACCAAGACCATGGTTATGCACATCAACCTCTCCTCCGACATTGTCCCACCTCCTTCCATTACCCTAGGTCCGAACACACTCCAGGTTGTAGATTCCACGAAGCTCCTCGGCGTCACCATAGACAACAAACTAAATTGGAAACCACACGTCAGTGAAGTTGTCAAATCCTCCAGTTTCCGTCTCCACCTCCTCCGCCGACTCAAGTCCCTCGGAGTTCCTGCACACGAGCTCCTCAGTGTATACACAACATTCATACTTCCCAAGCTCACCTATGCCTCCCCCACCTGGTCTTCCTCCCTAAATGCCACACAACGTAAACACCTAGAAAAAGTGCAAAAGAGGGCATGCAAGATTATTCTCTCCCCTTCCTACTCCACATATCAAGAAGCGCTCAACACACTGACCCTTTCGACTCTCACTGACCATCACCACGGCCTCATCTGCAAATTTGGTAAGAAGCTTCTACACCATCCCCGACACCGGCCCCTACTACCACCTGAGATCCCCTGTCCGAGAATTGCTGTTCGACACCACAACCGCATCCAGCCCATACGTGCACGAACTGATCGCTATAAGAACAGCCCAGTCCCAACCATTGTAAAAATTATCAATAACATGTAATAAATCAGTGTATTCACTCCCAGTAAACACTGCTCCCTACACTGTCACTATGTTGAAATGAACTGTAGTTTGAGCTGATCCCCATCTAAGTTACTATATGTCTTATTTGTGTCACTTATGTCACTTGTATATTATTTGTAATTCGTAACCCATTCCCCAAATATGTAACTGTATATTTTCAGCCTTCTGGCTGCCAAGCTCTTTCAATAAACCGTTAATTATTATTATTATTATTATTATTACACACACACACACACACGACTATTTACGCTTTCATTTTCTTCACTTAGGTGTAACTGTGTAAGGCACCGTCAGAGGGACACGGGGGTGGGAGGTGCCTCATCCACTACGGCTTCCAAGTTGTGTGCCACCGGGCGAGGGAGAGCCACCCACGCCTCCCACGACGAAGAGAACGACGAGGATGACGACGAGGATGGTCCTGACGTGGTGAAGACTGCCAATGGTGAGTCATGGAGGCTAAGTTTGAAAATTAAGAGGTTTCAAAATCGGCAGGACATTGATTTTTTTTTACCAATGAGACACACACGCACGCACACACACACGCACGCACGCACGCACGCACACACACGCAGTGGTCCTGAAAGTGGTGATGGTGGTGGTGATGGTGGTGGTGGTTGCTGTGGTGATAATGGTGGTGGTTGTTGCTGTGGTGATAATGGTGGGTGATAATGGTTGCTAAGATGATGGTGGTGGTGGTGGTGGTGGTGGTGGTGGTGGTGGTGGTGGTGGTGGTGGTGGTGGTGGTGGTGGTGGTGGTGGATGATGATGATGATGATGATGATGATGATGATGATGATGATGATGATGATGATGATGATGATGATGATGATGATGATGATGATGATGATGATGATGGATGAGGTGGTGGGGAGGGAACATGGCCACCCCACACTATGTAAATAAAGACACTACCCACTCTTCCTTACAGAGACGGCCCAGCTGTTGGAAGGTCAAAAGTGTCCAGAGATTGTATCTACCAGAAGACCTCAGTCCTACACACATAGTACGGTAAGACAGAGAGAGAGAGAGAGAGAGAGAGAGAGAGAGAGAGAGAGAGAGAGAGAGAGACCTAATATAAAAATCTATAGGGAAACTTTTTCGTCGTGTTTGATGAAAATAGTTTATAGTTTTTCCACCAACGAGAACAACTATACCTTTTTTTCCCTGTCAAGGAAAATAGGTATAGTTTTTCCTCTCCCTCTCAATGGTAGTAGTTATATTCTTCCCCTCTTTCTCACTAAAATGGTTAAACTTTTCCCCTCTCTCTTGCAGGGAAAACAGTTTATACTTTTCCTCCTCTTAACGAAAGCAATAACACTTTCTTTTGTTTTATTGAAAATAGTGAGTTTTTTCTTATGACGAATCTAATTACTTTTTCCCCTCCCTTTCAACTAAAATAGCTCCATTTACTCCCGTCCTTCAGTCTAAGCTGATGTATGTTTTGCTCCCAATAAAAACAATTACATATCTCACTAAGATATCTTGATGACTGTTAATTTACCACACGATCATAATTCACGGGTACAACCAACAGGTAAGGTCACGAACGCAGGTAGAAATTATCATCAACATGTACACGAGGAGAGGTTTTTTTTTTTTTCTAAGACGATTCATTTGTGTTTCCGACAGGTCATAGGTCAAGGATCAAGTGACAGCCCGCAGTTGACCCCAAACGGCACAGGGGGCAGAGCTTTGTACCGAGATTCTGGCAGCCCGCATCACCTGAGCCGTGACGAGAGCTTTGTGTAACTGCGGTCGAGAATGTGATCAAGTGACCACACCTGTACCACACCTGTAATTACAATCGGAGGAGAGGGAGAAGACTTAATGGCCACACCTGTACAGGTCTACTACACCTGTAACCGTGGCTGTTATATCGTCCACACCTGTACACGCCAACACCTGTATTGATAGTCGGAGGAGACTAATGACTACACACACACCTGTAATCGCGGTCAGGGAGGCTGTCATGTCGTCAATACACACACACACACACACACACACACACACACACACACACACACACACACACACACACACACACACACACACCTGGGATGGATACCTTATAGCGATAGTCAGGGAAGAGATACTATACTCCACAACCCTGCCAGCCCACCTTGGGGACACCTGCAGCTAGGGTGAAAAACCAGTGTTTCACACCCATGGACATTTCTCTGGAACACGTGTATTTGCTGTGTCTCTCATCCATGGACACGTGTGTCTATAGCGAGGACACAGTGTTTCCGGACTCCCATAGCCATTCCCGCCCCTCGCTGGAAACTCATTACTGTTGTGTGTGAGGGGGTGTGACCACGTGCTTCAGACTATAAGTTGGTGTAATGTACCGCTGAATTTGTGCTCCTTGGGGGGATAAATGAGTGACTACGTGTCTAGACTTGTTTTTTGTGTGGGTGTGTGTGTGTGTGTGTGTGTGTGTGTGTGTGTGTGTGTGTGTGTGTGTGTGTGTGTGTGTGTGTGTGTGTGTGTGTGTGTGTGTGTGTGTGTGTGTGTGTGTGTGTGTGTGTGTGTGTGTGGGTGTGTGTGTGTGTGTGTGTGTGTGTGTGTGTGTGTGTGTGTGGGGTGTGGGTGTGTGTGTGTGGGTGTGTGTGTGTGTGTGACAGGGAGGAGTACAAGACAGAAGGTGACGCCCTACACAGCCTGTCACAGTTTTATACAAGACCTTATCAACAGTAAACACCTGGGCACGGCGGCGGTGTTAACTGAGGGACTGTTATGTGTTTATCAAGACACCAGATAACAGACCAAGATGGTGTAGCGGTTATCGATAAATCATACCGTATTATATAACATGATTGAAGGTCCTTTATATTTGGGCGGGAAAACCTGCCAAAGGCTATCATCACTGGACATATCATGGATTCTGTGACAACATATAGAGCAAGTAGTTTTATACTTGTCATTCCACAAAACTAGTGTTAGCTACAGTGAAGATACGGGAGAACAATGTAAATATTTCCAGATAGTGTATATAACATTACGTCGGCCACAAACATAAATATTCCGTTTACACATATCAGTGATGCTTGGATCTGTGGTAATAATCTTTCTGGTGTTTGCCGATGCTGAAGACGTAATGAATGTGTCAGTGTATTGTCGTATATGACCGTGGAGAGTGAAGCCAACGTACTAACAGTGAAGTGTTTTAACTCGTGTGTACTGTATCATTGTCCACAACAAGGGAAAATGCTAATGAGTAACTGAGTACTGTACTCCAGACGCTTCTCCAAGATTTGTTCTCGTGAAAACCAGACTGTGTCGACAAGTCTCTCCAACAGATAAGTCGCGTCATTTATCCAGACAGTGGAACAACGTCAACACACATAATAACACAGAGAGCTTATGATGACAGACACACACACACGCGCGTGCACTAAGACCAACACCTGTATTTTCCTTAAAGCAATTACCAGAATCAGAAAAAAAAAGCTTCAGTGGCCCATCAGGGTTACCTACCCAGGGAAAAATCAGTTTACTGGCACGAAACTCCAAACTTGGAAAGCTTAGTTTTTACAATGGTGAGGAACAAGACAGGTTGAGTTGTGTTGTGTTACAGCTAAAGGTTCTGAGTCATTTTTTTTTTTTACAATGGTGAGAAAAACAAATGGTCGTGTGGAACTACAACTAAAGGCTCCGGGAATAGTTTGTTTCCCCCCACCCTAGTGAAGAACAAGGAAGGTTGTGTGGGGTTACAACTCTACAAGCTCTGGGTTTGTTCCCTGTTGTGTGTGAGTGTACATAGTGTATGTTAATCTGTACATGATGCCTTGAATAGTCTACCGTAGATCAACACCATAGATTTTGTATGGACTCAGTGGTATGTTTAATTTTATATACATATATGATTAAATACATTGTGAACGATTCATGTCATGGAAAAATAAATATATATATATATATATATATATATATATATATATATATATATATATATATATATATATATATATATATATATATATATATATATATATATATATATATATATATAGATAAATATATATATATATACATACATCTCATATGAGATTCTAATGTGTTGAATAGGTAAAGAAAACGTATCTAAATATGTGTGTTATCTGTTGTAAATTTTAATTAAGAAAGATATCCTGCATTTCTGCGTTAATTCAGATGAATCTATATTTCTAATTTAATGGAACAGTTCGAGATATATGACATTGTTGCAATGCTTTTATTTTCTTCAATCTGTCAGTTGGAAAACGCAACTTTTTGTTGAATATATGGCCAACATCCCTTAAAAAACAAACCAGAATATATATATATACACTATAGATATATATTTTTATTAATTTACTTACGTTTAAAGAAGTTTTATAATGCATAAAAAATTGCAAAAAAATTCCATTATAAACGCCATTTCATCTTCATGCCAAAATTTAATGACCATTGACCTATAGAAGTGCAGCGATGAGTTTAATAAAGAATGGAGCTTCCACGACCTTGACATGTCAGCTGAGAATTTGTGAATTTTTGTGCAAGTTCAACTGTCCGTCGTTTTTTTATAGTAATACAACCAGAATCTACACACGCCTGTCCCGGAGGAGAGACGACGATGCCTTGCTAGTGTGTGGTGGAGGGCAGTAAGGGTCATAAGAGTGTTCATGTCATGTATAGTTTGGATGACACACACACACACACACACACACACACACACACACACACACACACACACACACACACACACACACACACACACACACACACACACACACACACACACACACACACACACACACACACACACACACACACACACACACACACACACACACACACACACACACACACACACACACACACACACACACACACACACACACACACACACACACACACACACACACACACACACACACACACACACACACACACACACACACACACACACACACACACACACACACACACACACACACACACACACACACACACACACACACACACACACACACACACACACACACACACACACACACACACACACACACACACACACACACACACACACACACACACACACACACACACACACACACACACACACACACACACACACACACACACACACACACACACACACACACACACACACACACACACACACACACACACACACACACACACACACACACACACACACACACACACACACACACACACACACACACACACACACACACACACACACACACACACACACACACACACACACACACACACACACACACACACACACACACACACACACACACACACACACACACACACACACACACACACACACACACACACACACACACACACACACACACACACACACACACACACACACACACACACACACACACACACACACACACACACACACACACACACACACACACACACACACACACACACACACACACACACACACACACACACACACACACACACACACACACACACACACACACACACACACACACACACACACACACACACACACACACACACACACACACACACATGGAAGAGAAAAGGAGTGTTAGATGCAGACACAAACAGATATAAGTGAAATAACAAGAAAGAAGGAACACAACAAAAACACAACGTAAACACAACGTAAACACTTCCTTTATAGACACAAAGATCAAAATGAGTATATCGTGTCAAACCCGAACCTCTAAAACTGACAGCACCTTAAAAGAGTTTCGTGAGTCTTTTGTGTCACTTAGAGGTCTTGTAGTCTAAGCCATACGAACGTCAAATCTCACCCGAATGTTTTGAGGATTAGTCTCCCATGGTCTGTATCTAACTCACTCATACTATTGGTAAACATAGACAACTCGTGAACCTGGACACCTGAATGAAAAAAACAAAACCTGAAACCAGCCAAAATAACTTGTAAATCCAGTCACATGTATGATTAAGACAGCCATAAGACTAATTAATGCAGCCACTTGACTGTTATCCCAGCCATATGATTGAAAAACCTAGAAATCAAATGTTGAAGTCAATTCATAAGGACCATAAACACAGCTAAACCCATCTATCCACAAGACTTGTTTGCCACCAGACATAAGACTGTTAGGACCAACTGTGTGGCTGTTTAAGACAGTCATGTGAATTATAAATCAAGCCATATGACTGTTGAACCCAGATGCATGGTAGTGAACTCAGCCATGTGACTAAAACCAAGTCACGACGACTCAAAGCATTCCCACAGTAGCTGGAACCCAGTTATTAAGCCAGTATAAGCCTCGTGACCACTGACCCCAGAACTGACATATCAGGTAGGCTATATGACCTCACCAAGACCACATATCCAGCTAACAGTTATTTAACCGTTCAGTCCTGCCACGTGCTATTGAACTCAAGACATTAGACATCTGATACCTTACCACTAGACAAACAAATTAAGTCTTATGACGTTAATCCTCGTATATGGCTGTTAGAATCAGCCATTAGACTGATAAACCAACTATCCCCAATTTTGGTATCTGTCGCAATTCATGGACAACGATGACTCGTTGCTCCTTGTTGACTGAGTCACTTGTCAATCAACCAACGTCCAAGATCTGTGGAGGTTGCTGAGGATGCCACAACCTTATTATCAACCTTTACTAAACTAAGGTGATTGGTTGTTGGGTGAATCTTAACAACCTATTAACCGCCAAGGACAGTGAATCTTGTTAAGACATCAAAACAGGGTGGAGCTTAGCAGATTAAACCAATTACCTGATCCTGGGGCCCTGGCCACATAAGGTCGAGCCTCCACCCACACCAGCGAGTGAGTGAAGGTGTGTGTGTACTTGAACAACATCCAGCAGGGGCTCTGGTGCCCTGTTGTACATGTTATCCTAAAATAATAATAAATATCTCCTTTGTATAAAAAAAATACTGAACTTTATTTGGCATTTTCTTTTGTAAATTCTTAAGCTGTGATTATAACTGCAATGGCTATTATATGTATATTTTATATAATAAAATTATCAATTGTGTTGCGCTTTTATATACCATTTTCCTCATGTGATGACCCTGTTTATGTTTATATTTCAGTAATTTGTACATTTCATAACCTAAGAAAATATAAAGACATTTTTACCTATTCAGAGACTCAAGTTCCCACATTTGTTTTTACATTCTGGATGTTATCTTCTCTGCAGCTCTATATGTGACTTGGTTCCAGATCTAATCACTCACTGACTGATAGACGCTTATTCATCTATGGTAAGCTCCTAGAAACAATCAAGCTCACTTAACAACACCAAATACAACTAAACTCGAAATAAATTCAACTGAACTTAATTGATAATTTAGTCAACAGCTCCAGAAAATTTAATTATACACTGACTCAGTATCGTTCACGTCTACAACCATTTGTTAAAAAAGGGTCCAATAGTAACATAACTCGTACTATTAACATATATCCAAC